CGCACGCGACATGGCATGTGCCTGCAATCCATTGGCTTACTATTTCGGCCGTTCAACCAATCCCGTATCAAAGCTGGTAACGTAGGCGCATGTTCAGGCGGATGCAAGTAAAGCTCCCCCTATAAATATCGTCCCACCGTTATGCAGGATTTCACCCTCGCAAACTCAACTCCAAACTATTCACTTTCTGTGCCCACTACCCCACTGCTCCGAATTTTTTGCTACTATGCCATTACAACCTTGGCAACCGAGAATCTCATCGACACCAACGTCTTCATTTTCTCTATCTTCTTTACGAAACCGCCGGTCAAATGTTTCAAGTTGTCCTTCAGACGAAGATAACAAAGAGAACAAACAAATGTTAGGGCGGAAGGAGATGGGAGTCTCTGCTAAAAGATGGAAGAAGACCCAAAAGACTCCAAACATGCTCTCAAGACGGAATGAGCGCGAACGCAATAGGGTTCACCTACTCAACTTAGGCTTTGATCGACTTAGAGCCGTTGTGCCGAAACGGGAGGGTGAGCATCTCAGTAAGATTTCCACTCTTAAAAAGGCAATTTGGTACATAGAGCACTTGGACAGGGTTCTTCACGAGGAAGTAGCATCGGAAGTAGCGGATAGTGGGGTAGTGGGCACAGAATCGGGGAGTGATAGTGCTATGGTTGCAACTTCAGCGAATCAAGGTCAACAGCAAGAACAATTAAAAGAAGAGGATCGTCTTTCACCCATCTTTCCAGCTAGGATGGATGAGCCTTCATTAGAAGGACCGTCATCGACACTTCATTATGTGAGCACAACGTTAGATAGTGGCTACGGGAGCAGTTTCTACGCCATAAATCCACAGGAACCACCGCCACCACCGGTGAGAATGTGGATAATCGACATCGACTCAACTTCTACACCTAATCGCTGATTAGTTAGTGGGGATTAAGTTAAGAATCGGGTTAGATGGGCACATTTTCTGGTGGGGAACGGCTTAGATTAAGACCATAAGGCAAGTCAGAAATAGAAAAGTGATTAATTATTGCTCTTTTATTTTTGTGCTTCTTTTTAATACATCAAGTTATACTTTATTTGTAACCCTCAGATATTCCTGTTAATGACGAAATCCTCCTTTGTATTGAGAGTTTCATGTACCTCTGATCACGCTTAATCTTTTACCTTTTGAATACAATAAATTAAGTTGCGACAACTATTTACGAGTGTTTACTTTGTTAAGAGGGGGTACTAAAGAGGAACACGATAAATGAGGTGGGGTAAATTGAGGCGTCTCGACCAGGTGTGTGTATGTGTGGGTGGGCACGAGAATTCCGAAATTCTTCACATGGCCACGTGGGCGAAGGAGGATGAGGGGAGCAGATCAGACACCTTGTAGAAACAAACATTGCGGTTTGATAATATAGTGGATCACAACAGCAAAACAATTGCCTTTGCATTTGGAATTCTCTGTATTAGATCTGTGGAATCTGTGTTACTCGCATTCAACACACCATTCGTTATCAGTTTAAGATAAAAGTCAACTAGCTTTCGATAAGTAAAAGGTCCCTTACAGGAAAACAGGAGTTTGCTGAGCGTACATACGTTTTATATTAAGGTGTACGTTTTGTAATTGTTCGCAACACCTGAGACGTCACCAACGGGAAACCAAAGTAGAAGTGCTTGCAGTCCAAAAAGGAGATGCAGACCATATTTTGGACACCCAAATACGACCTGTGGCTCGTTAAGCAACTAACAAACGGCTAACGAAGCTGATTGGGAAACGTGTGTCGCTCATCTTAAGAAAGTGAAAATGACGAGCTTCCCTAAGTTTAATTAACTTCGCAGTATTAATTTAGCCCGAGTCTTCGGCAATGCTGACGCAACATTTCGAGACTTCCTGTTGAGTAGTAGAAGGCAATGCGCATGACTGTTTCGAAGGCCAACTCATACGGCAGAAGTAAGGTGACCGCTAAAGTCACTGCCAATCATGCGGATGGCAAAATAAGCAAAATGCTTCGCTCAACTTTTTTGCAATGCGTCAAATATTCAACTGTATGCTTACTGATCGGTTCTCTTAAGGGCTTCACCAATCTACTCCAGCCAGGAGGTTTGGCCTATAGCCCATGGTGGCAGTTCTTGATTTCCGTGTCAATAATAAGTATTCCATCTCAACACCATGTCTCCTTTGGCATTTTGGAAGACTGAACTGGCATTAGCAACCAGTGGATCCGATCATAACAGGCAGTTACTTTGAGCACCAAATGAATTGCTGACGAAGCATGACTGAAGGATGATGCGTCGTCGTCGTCGCTAACAGCTCTGAAATAAAGGCTGATTTCAACGACTTCATTCACCCACCCCTCTGATCTTGTAGGTCGGTACAAATAAATTGTTTGTTACGGAGATGCTGGCAATGATTAAAAATGTCATTTGAATGTACAGACAACAGCTTTTCCTTCCCTTTCTCCTACCAGTTGAAGAGAACTTACAGAAATGTATTGCTGAGCGGCAATTAGTTAAGAATGATTTTGGCAAGAAGGGACAAACATGCAAGCTCACCCTTACAAAACCAACGCATTTATGATGTCTTCTATTGCGTGAGTTTTTTTTCCCAGTGATCCCACAACTTTGGTAGTTGTCAAACGGAACAGAACTGTAGTAAACACAACTCCATTTCAGTTTCAAATGCCAAATAGGGTCGAAGAGCTTGTTATCAAGTTTATTATTTCACAACACCAGAAAGGGACCACCGAGGACGGTGGTCAGAAGTCTGGTAGTTAGTTAGGAAGCGGAAAAGTTGAAATTTTCCCGTTCAATCTGTCATTCTACGTCAGTGGCCACAAAATCAGCCTTACAGTTCACCCGAATGTTGCCTTTTTACTCCTCTGAAGAGTCACAGTGCGTTGTGAGACTTTTATGAGACGGTAAATTGTATTGTAGACACTCTCACACCAAATTGGCAGACACTTTCATCAAGTTGTTTTGAAATTCGCATTACTAATGCAACGCACAGGCGATGGTGATGATTTAGCACCTTTGATTTTAAATTCCAGATGCATTTTTCATGGGCATTTTTCTTAACAAATAATGGCAGATGAGTTGCAAATGAGGGAAGTATAAAATTAAGCTCAGGTCTTGTCGCTACTCAAATGCCTGGCACCAGCATACCCTTGTCAGGCCAAAAAATGTCAGCGGTTGCCCTCGAAGTTTGCTTCTGCTGCAAAAAAGAGTTCTTTTTTTTCAGATTTTATTCATACCCTCCTATGTAGAGACCCAAAAGCATTTGCAGGTGAAGGAGGAGGGAGACACAGGGAGGACTTTCCATGGAATTGGATGAATAAGGAAACTCAAAGTGTTTGAAGTTATTTAATTGTCAATTAGATTAAATGAACACACCATTTTGTACGAAAAAAATTAGGCGATTGAATTGCGCATTAAAAACAGGCCGACATGTCTTCTTCCTCCAGTCTCTTTTGCAGAGTTTCAGTGTTATTTTTTTACCCATTTAAAATCGACGTTCGGATTCGCAGTCTCGCGTTTGATTGACATCAATCACGCTAGAAAAGTTCCATCAGCATTAATTTTGAAGTGGATAAAGAG